GAGTCAGTTTGCACTGTATCTAACTGGCGTAGACACCGTGTGGCTTTCCATCCTCCCTTTTACCTGCTGGTTTTGTTTTGAAACTGTATGTGGCAAAGGACAACAGAAGTCTAAATCAAGTCATTTCTTACCTTCCATTTAGTGTCTGGTCGTGCTTTGGGGAGGAAAGTCGCATCAAACGTATGAGAAAATGGCCCATGTCCTGAGTAGAAGAGAATTCATTCAGAAGTTATAGATTTTGTTGTGTGGGAATTTTCCAACTATGCTACTTGTGTTCTGTTCCTGTGGGAGAAACAACAGATAATGAATCCACCTTTACTCATCTCCACACACAGTCACTAGCTACTAAGTGGTTAAACCTAGAACATGTTAGGATCCGTGTGCCACTCACCCAGGTCATGGCACAGCCCAGCGATCTGCACACAAAGGATGTCTCTGTGAGAGATGAGGAGTTCTGGCTGCTTCGCGTTCAGAGCTTGTACAAGTTGTCCTGCCAAGTAACCAACCCTGTAACCAGCACACAACACAACAGCTCTTTCCATAAAATGAAAATACCACAAAGCATGACAAATATTTTCTCCTTACAGTAAGAACAAATCTCTATCTTATAGGATGGGAGGATTCCAATCAAAGCAGTGATTAAATGGAACGAAAGAAATTAAGTTAAAGTAACCCCCACACTCGCCACACATACATGCACACGTGCGCGCACACACACACACACACACAAGGGTTAATCTGCAGTGCAATCCACTGTCAAAGCAGTCCCACTGGTCTAAGATAAATTTGAGTCAGTTTGCACTGTATCTAACTGGCGTAGTGGTTCAGTGGGTAGAGCGGTCGTCTCCCAACCCGAGGGTTGGAGGTTTGAATCACAGTGCCTCCAGTCCACATGTTGAAGTGTCCTTGGGCAAGACACTGAATCCCCAAGTGCCCCCAATGGTGAGAGCCATCAGTGTGAGTTGGCGCCGCAGATGGCTGCCTTGGTTCTGTACCGGAAACAAATTCCTTGTGTGTGTAACATACTTGGCCAAAGGTGATTAATATTATTATACATACCCAATGCTGTGTTCAAAGCGGTTGTGAGATGCTCCAGGAAACACAAAGTATGTCCCGCCGAGCTGCTTGATGTATCGTAGTCTCTGGAACTGAGGTGTATCAATGATTTTGATGAGAAGCGGGTGTAGCTCCACATGCCCGTGGATGGGATCATTAAACACCTGACAGAAGACAAGACAACAAATGGCACAAAACACAGAGATTTACTTCACCATTCACAACCAGAGCAGACGAGTGACAATATGCACAGTGTCTGTTTTTATCTCAGGTTGGTCTGAAATCATTTTCCAACCAAAAGACCCAGATAGAAACATAAAGTATAAATGTACAATAACTCAGGGATGCACAATTAATCGTATCGTGAGCATGATTTAAATCCCTGTGCGATCTCAGTCTCACGTGACAATAATCCTGTCATGTTTGCATTAGCACAGTGATGCCTTGCATCAAACCGTACGGACAAACGGACAATTTGGTACTGTGGCTACTCTCCATGATAATTTATGCAGAAAACCAGGAAAAGGCAAACAGTGCCATTACACACAGCCATAAAATGTGAAAAATCAATTTGACAACAAACAAGCAAACAATTTAAAGAGGAATAAACATATGTAAAGTGATCAAGTTAAAAGGCAGCAGAAGTTCATACAGCCTGTATTTTGTCTAAGGCTCCTACAACCCTGGCCATTTCACACTCCCTTACAAGAACCTTTTCTTTAGTCTGTTATGTCTTTCTTATCACGGCAGCCTTGAAAGTGTAGTGTTGTGATGAGGTCGTTACCTTGCCTGTCTCTGCTTCTATCTGCCACAGCTTCCTGAGGCTGTACAGGATCTGCTTGCGGTCACCAAGGCACCTAGACAGTACAAGACAGAAATATGGAGGGAAAAGTGAAACAGGAAAGTGAGGTGTGAATCAGAGTAAGAAAGTTAAGATGGTCATGTGGCTTATACTAACAATATTATTGGTGTTACTACTTCGGGTTGAACCGGGTTTGGTCACAATCCCTCAGCATGACTAGTTTAACACTCTACCCTAGGGGATACAACTGTCATTGCTTCACCAGACACCTTGAAAGTGACCAGGAATCCAGAGATTAAACAGTGGATTGACAGGAAATTAAATGGCAGCGATACTGATAAGCGATTAATCATTTATAACCATTTAAAAAGGGGTAGAAACGTCTTTGGTACCAAGCAAAGTGATCAACATGGACTTCAGGGAACAAAGATGGCAAAGTTCCACTATTCTCTGACATTTGATGCACAGATCTATTAAAAATGATTAAAGAAAACAACAGACTGACAAATTATCACTTCACAGCTGGACTGTTCTCAGATGATGCTGCCTAGTCTGAGGTTTTCTTTGGAGTAAACCTGGGACGTCTGGGGCTCTTGGGTGGTTGTTAATAATCCAGACCTGACCCTCAGTGTCCAGGACATTTGTTAAAAACTGTCTCATAACTCGGTTTAAAACGAGGACTGACTTACTCTATGCCAATCTTCTCCAGGTCAACATCCTCGAGATAGCGCAGCCCGACACCAGTGATTCTTTGTGCTGATACCCAGAAAACAAAACAGTTTTCGTGTCAGCTTCATCGCACACATGGAGACACAGCAGGTCGGCGTGGACATTGGGCGGTTCTCAGATGGTTTACTATATTTAGACCAACAATGACGTGCAGGCTAAAACGGTCTATTTAAGATATCAAATCAGAAAACCAACCTCTAAATATATCTTCCCATGCTCCGAGACCTTCTCTTTGCAGATACTGACACGTTTCCTCCACGCCCCATTGCGAGTAGTCGGACTCGTGCAGCCGGGCCACTGACACTCGCTTCTCCAGCGTTTTGAAGCCGTCACTGGGGCTCGGTCAGCGTTTTGAAGCCGTCACTGGGGCTCAGAACTGCCGCCAAAGGCCGTTTCCGATTGTCCATGTTGATCTGACAAACAGGCGGTGGTTCGCGTTAATCAGAAGCATGGAGACCCGCAGACTTAAAACCGATAATATTCATCCCACGTCGGTTGCAACAGATGTGCAAGTAGCATTCACACAAGAAATTCAGACAGTGAAAATACCCGGGTTTTGTTTCTTCACCGGCTGCACAATGTGGGCGGAGTCAAACGTCGAGCTCAGCCCCGAGCGGTCGTGGTACTTGTCTTCACCTACTACGTCAAGTTGAACCAAAACACAAAGAGTGTTTCCGGCCACTGTTTCCAAACTAAAAGTCTATTGAAACCTTGAAATTGACTTTTACTAGTAGACTACGGCTACAAATAATAATAAAATTCATTTATATAGCACTTACAAACCCATAAATAACAAAATGTTTTGCAATAATAATAATAGTAATTAAGAGGGCCAGCTCTGTCCTGGGAAGCCTCTTGTCTCAGTGCGGGTGGTGGCTGACAGGAAGATGTTAGCCAAACTAACACCCCTGCTGGAGAAGGACTTGAGCAGCTCCATCAGTAGTGGAGAGAAGCAGCTGCTGCTGTAGGCGGAAAGAGATGCTGTTTATATTTGTCCAGGAATGTGTTTATATGGGTCTATTTTATGCTTCACTCCAAGTGCATGACAGAGCGTTATCG